ATTTAAACTAATTAAGGTTTAAGCTCATGATGTATATGTCTGCACAATACACACACACAAGCCTACACACTCATACACACACATATCAAACAGCTCCAAACAGCCATGACAGACACTTTAAAAAATCCCTGCAGCATATCCAAACCCGTTAATCCTGTCTTTCTCATCCCTCCTTTGCCTACTTCATCTTTTTCTTTTCTCTTTTGCTCTTGTGCCTTTTCTTTCTCATCTGACTCCCTGAATGAATGTCTTGCTCTTGTCTCAGTGACTCTGGCTGCAAACCTTCTGCCAACAGCCTGCATCCCTACACCTGCTGGCAAGCCAGAGAGAGAGAGAGAGAGTCAGAGGGACAAGGTACACAGCTTGAAGTCAAACACACAGCAGGAAGCTGAGACGTAAATGAGTGAAAAAATCAAGGGAAAGCTAATTAGAAAAAGTAGGGCCAAGGGACGTGTGCTGTGTCCTTTAAACAAACGGAGCAGTTAGAAATCATCAGAAAGGCTAGAGAGGGTGATAGTAAGGTGGAAAGAGAGGTGGTAATGGGTCACTGTAAGTGTATAGATGGCTTTGTGGATGGATGGATGGATAGATAGATGGAGAATAGAGGACTGAATGAACTACAGATCAGAGTACTCACACAAGCAGGCATCCTCAACCCGTTACCGACAACTACTTCTCTGCCTCGTTAGCTCCTTCGCCGCGGTGACATTGCTACAGCCCCTTCGCAGCAGTACCCCAGGGTAAATCTCTTCCTGTCTGCTTCCTCTCTTTTTCTTCTTATCCTTTTTTTTTTTTAATCCTCTGGGGCTTCTTCCCCCTTCTCCTCTCCCTCTTTTCTTCCCCTCCCCCTTCCTTCTCCCACTCCTCCTCCACTTTTTTCCGCTACACCTTTTCTCTATCTTCCTCTACAGCCGGCTTCCCTCGCTTTGCTTGCCTGGTCCGGAGAGTGTCCTGCGAGGTCCTGCTGTGTAAAGTGCAAGCAGGGAAGCATGCCTCTCTCCCTTTCTTATTGGCTTTCCATCACGCTGATCATTCCCGACACACTCTCTCAAAAGCAGTGCCGCGCTTTATTCCCCGTTCTCTCACTGTTTGTCTTGAGTATCTTCTCGCCTTCGTCCTATCTTTGTCTCTCCTTCTCTTGCCTGAGTGAAACTGGGAAAAAAGGGGGGGCTTCAACCCCACTAAAGTGCAGTGGCAGGACAAAGAAAGAGAGTCAGAAAGAAGAAGAAGAAGAAGAAGAGGCAAAGCTGTGCAGCCAATGGCACAGGAGGGAGGCAGAAAGAGCGCTGGAGACAAAGAGTGGAAATAGCACAGACAGAAAGATGGGATGGGAAAAGTGGGGGAAAACACATGCACACCCACTCATTCACCATCACACACAAACAGAGCGCTCCGGATTTAGACCTATGACTTCATCAGTTCAAGTCCGCATGCATACACATAAATGCGAACAGCGTGCACGCGCAATTTGGGCGTGCACGCTGTCAGACTTGCTGAGTGCTCCAGATATAGCCTCATGACTTCATCGAAGCGCTAACCCCTCCTCTACCATCGTCCCGCCCTGCTTACGAGACGGGGGGACTCATTCATATTGAATCAAGCTGAAGGAGAGCGAGAGAGCGAACATTCGGGACAAGACTGGGAATATTCCACAGATAGATGGTTAAAGAAAGAGACAGCTGATGGAGAGAGAGCAAAGTGCGAGCTATCTTCTATGCTTGCTTTCAGAAACAGCCTTTATCTTTCACCTCTGCCTCCTCCTCTTTCCCTGTCAATTTATGGCCTTTTAAACATAATTAAGAAAGACATTTCTCTTCTGCATGTCTTTCACCGCCTACCAGCTTCAGTCAGTTAACAATATTACCAGTCTGACTTTATACACACACAGTGTGCAGGCAAGTAAGTCAACCACTTAGGCAGCACACTGAGCTGCCAATCATACAAAACATATAGTGGACTACCAAAACCTGGCTATTCCTAAAGTTTTTGCTATTACAATCTCAGCTCTATGGAGACTTTTCAAACCTCCCTGCAGGAGTTGCTTCTATACAGACCTGGCTCCAGTTTAACCACAAAGGGATTAGATGTGGTTAATGTTAGGGTTTTGTGTGGGTCAGTCATTTTTTTTTTTTAGACAGAGCACATAACATTAAAAATAAGAAGAATAACCAAGCAACGCATGACACGAAGAAGCTGACGTCAGCAACATCTCGCCAACGCTTCACAGGATCACAGTATCACTCCAAGACTGTCACAAAATAACTGAGCAAATTAACAAATGCAAAAATATTAATCACTCAGTAGTGACAGAAAAAGCACACTCCTACAAGAATAAATAAAAATCACAGCTGTAAAACAAACAACCAAGTTTTTCATTTTTCTACTAATGCTGTTTAACAGGCACTGTTTAAAATAATCAACCCGGGAGAAAATGATCATCTCAGTCCACAGGAGCAAGGGTGCTCACATATACTTTTGAGGATTCAGCTGCAAGCTTCTCTCCATGAGCAGGCTTTGATTACAGTGCACTCTAGTGGCAGGACTAACAGAGCAAAAATTCCAACCTGTGGCAAAATAATCTAAGACACAATTGCACATGCACAAACTGCAATGCAGGTTGCTGTAAAACAATTTGCTGCATACATGGAAAAGCTCCATGTGGCTCCAGAGCATCAAATATCTTCTGAGTCACCTTGTTTGTTCTCAGCTTTAACACCCTGTGCTGGTTTGAAGGCCAAGCTATCCAGTTTTTCACATCAGTCCCAAACAACTTATCACCATGAAAGTGGCTTCACAAAAAATCCCAGTGGATTCATCCTGTCCCCTGGACCACATGCTAAGCACTTTACTTCTTAAATGGATATCGAAAGCATTGAAGAAAATATTGTTTTAGTTACTTATGTATGAACATGTATCTAATAGAGTGAATGTAAATGTTTTCCTTTTTGTGACGTATGAGAGCAAGAGTGTTTCTGACTTTTTCATTCTGATTGTGGTACATCCAAAAGTCATGAGTGTAAAACCAAGCAGAGGAATGCAAGACTGCACCCTGCAGATTTTAAAGAGCTGCTGGGTGAGGTGGGAGTGGGGGTGGTGGGGGGAAGCTGTAATGTTATAAGTGAGAGAAAGAGATGCAGTGAGGGAATAAAGGATAAGAGGGAGTGCTATCCTGAGATGACCCTCCCCTCCTCTTTCCACTACACGCTTTATCCATTACCGCTGAGAGAGACAGCCACTGAAAGTTTCTCAATCCTCGGAGATGGAAGAGGGTGGAGGGACTTTCTTTCTTTATTTCACTCTCTTTATCTCACTCGCACACATACAGCTAATGTTGCTGTAGTGTTGTTGTTGGGGGAAGTCAAAAAGGAGGAAGACAGGAGGGATGGAGAAGAGTGGGAGGATGAGAGGGATGCTCTGAGAGAGAAAGAGAGAGAGCGAGAAAGAGACTATAGCAGTACTTAAAAGAGAAAGACGGAAATAAGATAGACAGAGAGACACTGAGGCAGGAAGAAGGAGAGGGGGTAACAAGCATGGCTGAGTGCGAGTGCGAGCCTTTTACACAGACTCTATTTTAAACTCCATTTTCACCCGATTCTTTAACAGCTGATTACACATGTCAGGACCCGACCGTTTCTTGGACTGAAACCTCCAGCCCATCTTCTCGTTTGATTTCATTTGACACATCTTTAAAGTAAATCCTCAAAAAAAAAAAACCCAAAACGTTTTAAAGTGCTTAGATTTTTAGCATTTTGTGTTCACAAGACTTTTGCTCTGTCTGTGCTAAGCTTCCAAATGCACATAGGTGTCTCATACATATGAAATCCATGCATGCCATGCATCAGCGCTAACGTTTCCACACGAGTGTATAGGTTAATATGCAGGTTAATGGAAACCCAGAGCGGCTCATATCAATGAGGGCTTGGCCAGCTCCCCTCATTAGCAGCTACGCTGCCCTCAGCACACTGTCAGCTCAATGGTGAGAAGTGAAAACCAAGACTATGGGATATTGCCAAATGACTAAAGGCCCCATAGGTCCTCAGTGTGGAAGTGAAGCATTAGGAATAATTGTGGAGTTTTAGCACAGTCTGTGAAAATACAGACTGAATAATAACAAGGCTGATGCTGTTCTCTGATGATTAGTTAAAACTCCTGAGTGTTTTACACACATGCAGTTTAAAAGGTTCCCGTATAAAACTGTGTTTGCACATACACAGAAGGATTATCTGCTCAACATGTTTGTGTGGGTTCTTGTCTGTTTCACTAAAAATGTCAGTCATTAACTCTTTACTCATGTCTATTAGGAGTAACCCTTGAAACTCTTTTTTAACTGAACAGTTTCTGTCATATTTCAGGGCTGCTTATACAACAAGATTACTGGGTTTGTGTCAGAAGTGAATGAGGGTGGCCCTTGCAGTTACCCTTTGGAAAACCTTGAAACTATTTTAATGGTTGTTAAACCACATGTTTATTGAAATTCATCAGGGAAGGTCATCAAAATATCACCTCCACAGGGGAAGAGTTATAAAAACAGAACAGCATGGTTTTAGTAAAGATTTCTGTAATGTCCTCCCTACCTGTCATGGTCTCTGCCAACACCCCAGACACGGATGCTGCTGATTGGCTGAGAGTGGAGCAAGCTGCGATCATCAGGGTCAACAAGAGTTAACATGCGATCCTGAAGCACTAAAAGCATCCCTTTGCCCTGCAAGATAGCAACCAAGGATACATCAGTGCTGTCATCCACAAGCCAGCCAGAGGTTTTTGTGAGGTAAGTTATATAATTTGCTGCAACATGATTTAAAAAAACAACTTGACAGTACTTTGAAAACTACAGAGCCGGCTCCTTCGGCTCCGAACCGGCTCTTCAGGTTGTTATGTTGCTTTAATTAATTTATTAATAACAATAATATAAAATTATGCACAAAAGGAATTACTAATGTAAAAAAAAAGTGGTTTTATTTATATATGTTTATATATAAATATATGCGGTGGCCCCTAGAGACAAAACACATACAAACTCCAAAACACATTTCTAGCTTTAACTGAACTTCCAAATCAGAGCTACCTAGATCACTTAAATTACACAATTGAAAGCATATGTGTATTATTTGTGTATTTATACACAAGCACTCATATCTATTAAAATAATTAACTACTACCACACACCACGCGCTTCAGAGTTCGTAACTGTTTTGAATACAAAAACCAACTGTTCACATTTCAACTTTTAACTATTTAAATTTTCAGCTTTTTCCTTTTAAACCAATTTAAAGTGAAACAACACAAAACACTGCAAACCACAACACAATTAAATATAAATTAAAATATGAAAACAAAAAGAAGATGCATATTCTCTGTCATATGGGCCTGCATGAATAAACTTTCTGAATCCTTTATCGTCTGCAACTGAAAATAGTTGTGGATGATTACTATACCTTTCTAATGTGATGCTGTTGTCCCTGGCTCTCTTTCTCTCTCTCCCTCCTGCTCTGTTTCTGTGCTACTGCGAGTGTAACTTCCGCCCCTCCCCCCTCTTCCCAGCGCAAAGCACAAGGCTCGCATGCGGAGTGAAGCAGAAAAAAAGTGCGAGAGAGAGGGTGAGAGAAAGGAAAAAAAAAACAAAACGGCTCGCGATAAGAAGCCGGCTCGCGTCGTTCACGTCAAAGATCCGGCTCTAAGAGCCATTTCGTTCGCGACCGACACATCACTAATAGCCAGGAACAACAGTTCACTGACTTCACATATACATCAGAGGTTGTGCACTCATAAACCTTCTTCCTATAATGTGTGCCTGCGAGGCATTTTCAGTTGGACTCAAGGAACTATTATGATTTCACATCACACACACACATCACTGTAATTTAATTTATGCACTATTTGTGACATCATTTCAAACAAATGTCTAATAGCACAAAATTATAAATTGATGGACATCAATGTACAAAGCAGCCGGCAGTAACGCTGGTTCTCCACTGACACACAGCAATACTGACTCATAAACATGTAAACAGTGTAAATACTCTATGTTGAGCTGATCTCTTTTGGACTGACCTCTCCCCAGACACCGGCCGAGTCTCGTATGTCCCTCCTGCAGTAGGACAGCTGTCTGATACAGTGGTGGACAGCCACGCTGCTCCTCCCTTCACACAAATCCTGCTCGGCCATCTCCACCCAGCCCAGAGATCTCACTGGAAATGACTGGAAGAGACACAGACTCTGTGATATCGCTAATAATCAGCGCAACAAATATGTGTACGTGTGTGCACAACTACAGCACACGAGTGAGGTCCAGGATGTCACTCCACAGACTGTCATGATCAAGTTTACTGGATATGTTTGGTGATCATTTTAAAATAGGTTTAAGCACTCTGGTTGTTTATTTAAAACCTGTGTAAGTGCTCGTGTTTCTTGTTGTTGAATGCTACCATGATTAAAGATCTCAGGATGTAACATGATGGTTATAATCTTATTATAAGTACAAACAAAGGTGCACAAAACACTTAAATAATTACTGTTATCATTTATTGAAATTTTAACCAAGGTACACAAATCCACACAGCGCATGAATATGAGACACACACACAGAAGTTTCAGCTGTAATTTAATAATGCTTACAGTGAGAGAGTGTAGTGTGCAGGAACAACTCAGCAGTAACTGAGAGCTGCCTGACGTGTAAGGCAACACATAAACTATGAAAGACTGTATGTGTGTGTGTATCGAGGGGGGGGGGGCAATTTTGATTGCCTCAGGTCAGCAGCTATCACCATCCTCTCTTCTCTTCCTCACTCGCTAACATATCAAGGAGGTTTCTTTTCTGCTGAGGAGAGGAGGCATCTCTTAAGCTGTCACACACACCCACACGCACAATCTTTTTTCCACTGGCCATAAAATTCCCTTTGGGTTTCTTCCTCAATAAACTTTCACACTTTCTAAGTCCATATCTTAATCCCCACAATTCCCTCAGAGCTATATAAATGGGGTGGGGGATATATAAATATAAATAATTTTGCTGTAATATACTCAATTTTGTTCCATCTGAGCCAACAACTTCCACTCAAAAGACTGCTCTTTCTGTTGTTCTTTATCTCTATTGTTATATGTTAAGTAGCATCCCCTTCCATTAGACTGCTCTTATATTCAGGCATCACAGCATCTCTGTGCTTAAGCATGTGTATGTGAGATTCGTCCACAGGGGGGCAGCTAAAAATACTTTTGCTGTGAATGCGTTCACCATGTGTCAGTTCATGAAGTGACCACTGCGTGGCACTGCAGCAATCAGAAAGAGAGAGCAAGGAGCAGGTGCATTACATCATTGCATGCACTGCCTGGTGACTTCCTCTCATTAGCAGTATTTTCTTTTTTTGAAAGGTTCAAGTTTTTAAAGTGTAAATAAAACCACACACACACACACACACACACACACACACACACACACACACACACACACACACACACACACACACACACACA